TTTCTTCTCTAATGTATTTTAGTCTTTTTCATCTCAACTTTTCAGCATATTATAGTCTTTATTTTTCTTTGTTTTCTCAAACTTTTGATTTACAAATAGTTTCTGTGAGGTAATATTGTGATTCGATTATGATACTTTCACTTATATGACGTTTGATTGAATTTTTATCATTCTTCATTTTATATATAATCGCCGAAAATATAATTATAGAATATATCATGGAAATTGAAAGACAGAAGTAGAAAAGTTACAAAATTTAAACCAGCCATAGAAATAATATTTGGCTGCCTAGATTATTAGTATTTAAGTATCAAATGAAGATAGTGAAATTTGTTATGAATAAAAAGTTAATTGACCAATCCCCTTCTATTATGATTAGTATAGAATTATTTTCATTGTTGATTCGCTATATATTTAACTTATACATTTACCTAAGAGATAAAAATTCAGTTCGAATTCATTACAGAATATACATATCATCTAGATATTCACTTACATTAAATATTTTAAAATCATTATTTTTTAAAATTTATTTCTATTTCTTCATTTCTTTGTCTAACATTAAAATGCAAAAAGTATCATTTATCAAATTAAATTTTGATTCTTGCTATTTTTCATCATTTCCTTCTCTTTTTTTTCCATAAAATGATCAATAATACATTGTTGTTTCGTAATTACCTATATTTAACATAACTAATGAATGCATTCATAAACATAATTTATGCTCAGTGAATAAGTAGCACAGAAAATGTATTTTTGAAAAAGGAAATCAATCGTTTAAACTTTCAAATAATAATTTTTGATAATAGTTAGTAAAGTGTAATGAGAAAAATTATATTATTGTTTATTATAAGAAATAGATCTATTCAATTACAATATTCTTTTATGCACGAATAACATTTTTCACGCCCCTTTGTCGTTCTATTGAAGGTATACATTTTGTTTCTGTTTGCCACAATCAGCGCTTCTATACAATTTCAATTCACTTATTTTGTATTAAATTATAGAATCATGAAATTCATTGAAATGTGATGTTTTGACGGAAACAAAAACAAAAAAAAAAAGAAAAAGCGGTCTTTAAATAATATATTTTCATATTATAATTAATATATTATAGATATTTTCAATAGAAAATTATCGACCATTATGTAAAAATATTCATTTAATATGATATTAAAAGAAAATATAATTTTAAATGAATGTTCAAGCGCCTTGATTGTGCTTTAACCAAGCTTGCATTCTTTATATATATTTATTCCATAAACTTTAATTATATTCTTCGATATTTCGTCAATTATATTATAAAATATTGTTGGAGCTATTCAACAAAAGTATAGTTCTATATTAATGTTTTAAAGACATAAAATTCATTTCATTCTTCCCGATCCACATCACGTCTCGCGTACGTAAGTATTCATGCTCGCGTGCATTTGCAGTTGTTTCACTCACGCACACGCTTACGCATACGGCCATTAATGCCCACGCGCGCGTCCACACGCTCATCACCCACTCATGCATATATATACATTAATATGTATACACAAATACATACATATATATATTTATTTATTTATAATTTATAACTATTTTATGTATTTATATAAGCAATGCAAACACCGTAGTATCGAACGTTTGGCACGCACTGATGGTCCAGTGCACTTACCAAAAAAGTGATGGTGTTGGCATAGCCAAAAATTTTATTTTTATTTTTTCATTGATTTTCTCTCTATCACTCTCTCTCTCTCTCTCTCTCTCTCTCTCTCTCTCTCTTCCTCTCTTCCTCTTTCTTTCTATTTCTCTTGTAGTCAATTTCATCTTAAATACTTTGCTTAGGATATTTTATAATTAATTTGCACATTGATCGTGTGACCATCGTGAAATTTTCATGAATATATAATTATATGCACGTAAAATAACGAGATTGACAAGAACAGGATCCGATTTAGAAATGCACGATAGAGATGAATTGGAGTAAGAAATATACGGAAGAAAAGGGAAATGAACTGTTGATATGTTCAAGACAGTTCAAGAACAATCGATTTCTTATCTAAAGTTTTTCTTCCCTTCTGTCTATGTTGGATTTCGGTTGATTTATTATTGTTTGTCAATCGACTGATAAATAAATCAACTAGAATATTAAATACTTGATATTTTAATTTAATCACAAAAGAATATAAATTGTAGTTTTGCATACATGTATTATCACAGTTGAGTGATTCTAAAGTTTTTACTCACCATGTACATGAATTCAATTACTTTCATTTTACATCTTATTATCAAAGTTTTTGCCTTCTGTAAAAATTTATGAAGGCTTCAAATTTATGTTCAATAAAGAAATTTTTTTTTTTTTTAATTATTTACATTACATATATATTTTAATGAAATGTAGTATAATAAGTTATATATACACTTACACAATGTAGTTATAAAATAGTTGTGTGAGATAATACAAGTAATAAATTCAAGTAATTTACGAGTACAATTAGTAAGATTTTAAATGTAATGCTCGTTAAAAATGCTTAGTACTTTTATTCAAAATTTCTATTATATAATTTAATAACAAATGAATTGTGTATTCATTAGCATATTATTATAAAAGAATTTCTCAAATAAACTTTATTTAATCACGTTGGTTAAATATTTACAATTATATGAAAATTTTCGACAAAAGCCTATTACTATTTTATAAGGAATGTAGTATTACAGAATTTATCATACATTTTCACAGTTTTATTGATTTCTCAAGAATTGTATCGACTGCTGTACTAATTTAATAATAATGTTTAATGTTCTATTTATAACCCACTGTATATAGTTACTTTTATTCTACAGAAATTTATTCCTATAATAAGCTGACAATTCATTAAAAAGGAGATTTCGATTTTAACTTGCTTTATAGAATTAATTTGCTTTATAGAAAATTGATAATTTCAATTAACTCTCGAATCTGCTTAAGTATGTCATTAAAAAACACAATGCGCGAAAGATATATAAATAGAGGAATGAAAAACAAACGAGCGAATACAAAATAAAAATCAAGATATATAAAGGCATTAATTATAATTTGTTTGGAAGGAATATGAGTTTAGATTTGTGAAAACACGATTCAGAATTGGAGAAATTCGTTGCGAAAGTGAGACTTGAGATTTATATGTACGTACGTTGTGTAAGTAGCTTATCACGCGATAAAAGACAAGGAAGGGAAGACAAAACCTTATATCCTGTTTAATAATAATAATAATAATAATAATAATAATAATAATAATAACAACAATAATAATAAT